CAGGTGTTTTCGTTCGAATATGTGCTGTCCTTCCTCTTTTTTTACGGTTGCTTGTGGTGAAATGGCTTCTGGCCATCTGCTGATCGGATCAACGGTGTTTTTTCTTTATTTTGGAGAATGGCAGGTTAGGAAGCAGCAATGGCATTGTTCTGTTGACTGTAGCGAGTGGCCTCCCTTCCATTTGCTTCCCTATTCTCACCTCTCTAATAGGCCAGCATTGACACACAAGACACTCAGTCACACACCACCCCTCTGATATTTTTTTTTTTTTTTTTTTTTTTGGTACAACTCCATGTTTTAATTTTAATTTTTTTTGTAAATACTGTAAAATGCATTTTGATATCATTGACATGTTTTGATATTTCAAATCACGACTTTAACAGTTGATCAGAAACGAGCTGATTTGGGCAACTGTGTATTTGTTCAGAGAAGGCCTGTCTTTTACTCAGAAATAATATGAATGACGAGAGAAACGGAAACTGGAGCTGCTAAAGACTATTATGCTATTTCACCTCATCACAGACAAACGTGAGGCTTTTACTGTGCATCGACGCTGTTGTGTCAAGCGGTCCAGCGGGACAAGGGAGGAAAAACCTTTTGTAGTCGAGCTAATTCACTGTCACACACATGTACCTGAAAAACTCAGCTTCAGATGAGATATAAGTCTTCTTCCTCTGCCTCTTTTATTGGAAATTTATTGGGGGCGAACAACCTACCTCTGTTTTTGCAAATTCATGGTCAAAAACAGAGGTAGGTTGTTTCCCCCCCCCCAATAAATTGGGACATTTTTATAATTAAACTTGTGGTCTCTTGACACAACTGAATCGCAAAGGAGGGGTACAAAGGACACTGGCTCTCAATCCAAAGCACCAGGGACCAGAGTTCGTGCTTTACTATGAAGGAATTTTTTTAATCTATTTAAAAATGAGGCAAGAGAAATGTTTGAGAAAAGTAAAAATGGGGAAAAACAATAACACGTGGGACAGATTTGTTGCTAAGAAGCGGTGCAGGAAGAGGCGTTTTCCTCCCCTGTACTTTGAAATGCTGTTGTATAAAATGCAGTCCGACTTCTTTCTGTCCTGTAAGTAAAGCCGTCACAACGTTGATCATTTCTGTATTTCTATTGTGCTGATGTATAATACTGTAACATTCAGGGGTGGGGAGGGTTAAGAGAGGACTTTTGGGGGAGGGGGTGGGGAGTAAAGATTTTTTTGTTTGTTTGTTTGTTTTTTGTTTTTTCCTGTTCAGTTCCTCATTTTTCCTCTTGATGACAAAGCAGTATTGAATATGAGGCAGTCTGTCCTTGGGGATTTGCTTTGTATCTCATGTTAGGGTAGTTTCAGATCCTAAATGTCTTGTGTAGTAAAATAAGAGGTTCCTTCGTATGTTTCTTTATATTGTAAAGTTTCTTTAGACGAAAAAAAATATTACTTATTGGAAAAAAGGTGGGAATCTGCATTGATAATGTATTTTTTTTTTTGTTTGTTTTGTTTAATTTTCATCAAGTTGTCAGTCGTTTTTTGCCTGTGTCCCCCTTGTTGTAGATACATATTAAAAATAAATAAAATGACTTCACTCCTTTTGCCATGAATATAAATTTTTGCCTCCAACATAAATGCAAAAGTTGATTAACAGGAGTCAGTTTTCAAAAGGTTTGTGAGTTTTTTCTTTCTAAATATTTGTTTCATACAATTTATATCTCCATTGTGTTCAATACAGAATCAACAAGAGAGCTGCAGCCAGGGATTAATTTATAATTCATTATTTACAGTTTTGCAGAAATTAAAAGCAGAAACCTTAAGTAACTTAATTCTAAGAATAATCCACTTTCCCATTGTTAGTGTGTTTGAGTTATTTGTTGACTGACTATTCTTATATCTTTTTCATTGCATTTCTTTATGTTCTGCTGGTTCACGTTGTACTTCTCTGACAAAACACTAGTGTTTGAACCCAGATATTTGTGAATGGTTTCCACAGCAAGCTTTGAGTTGATTGCTTGCTCATGTTGAATGAGAATTTAAGCAGGTATCCTCTAAAGTTAAATTAGTTAATAAACCGTACTCCATCTCAGAATCACAAGTCTGAGTATACAGTAAGCTCTGTAAGCTTTTGGGCAGCAGTACAATTTTTTTTTTCCTCCTAACTTGCCTCTGAACACCACCACAGTGTTAAATCAAACAATCAAAATGCAACTCAATTGCTGTTTTTCAGCTTTGAGTCATGGGGTCTAACAAAAGTGTTTCATTAATTGTTTAGGGATTTTTCAGAGGCTGTGTCTGTATCTAACTGAAAGTTTTGAGGGGAGGTGGAGCCTGTCCCAGCTGTCATACACCCTGGACAGTTTGTTAAAGGCTTAACACAGAGACCAAACCACTATTCATGCTAACATTCACACCTACAACATACATTTAGAGTCACCACTAGACAACATGCATATCTGGATTGTGGGGTGGAAGCTGGAGTATCTGAAGAAAATTAAAGCACTTAAAACATGTCTTATTGGGTTACGATCAGGTAACTGAGTTGGCGATTGAAGAATATCCCATTTACTTTCATTATCCAAGTGTTGTAGCCCTGCACACTTCAGAATTTATCCTGTGACTTCTATCAAAAGTCACACCATCAATAAAAACTCCTTGTTCCACTGGCAGACATATGTGTCTATACCATTGCCTTGACCATGTTTGATGGATGATGTGCGGTGCTTAAGATAGATCGTAAGTATTTCCTTTTCTTATCATCATGCAGTATGCTTCAAATCCTCTGTTCTGTTTATTTATTTATTTATTTATTTATTTAGGACAGTGCATGTTAATGAACATAAATGTAAAAAAAAAAATTACATGAATGTAAACATACCAGATTATAGCCAAGGGCTAATTTCCATCTGTTGTCCTTAAGCATAAAAATAGACATAATAATTCATAAAAATTCATCATTCATTCATAATAAAAACTCCATCACCAAACTTACACATACACACCATTCTGTTCCCAAATAAAACATTAAAACTATACAACTTATACATGATCACACACTTGATTTGTCCATAACCAGTTTTTAACCTTTGCCTTAAACAAATTGAATGTCGAGCATTCTCTAATGGGTTGAGGAAGACTGTTCCACAGATGGCCACCCTGGACAGAAAGGACGTTCTGCCCAAATGCTGTCCGTCTGTGGGGTATAAACAAGTCTCCTCGGATTGTAGCTCAAGTGGTCCTGTCTGAGCTTTCTTTATGCCTAATGAACTGCTTTAGTGGTGGTGGAGCAAGGGAGTGTAAGACTTTATATATTAAACTCACTCTTTTAAGTTTCACTAAGTTATTGAAGTTCAGTAATTTATGTTTTTTTAACACATGACAGTGGTGGTGGGAAGTCGGTTTTTTGTCAAGTAGTTTTAAACTTCTTTTATAAATGTTTTCAATAGTTTTAAGTGTTGTTGGACAAGCAAGTGACCAGGACGTCAAACAATAGTCCATATGAGAGATGATCATTGAGTAAAAATAAGTTTTTGCAACATTCATATTTAAATTATTACGTATATGATTAAAATTTCGATTATTAAATTTAAGTACCTGGGACACTTTATTTATGTGACTCTTGAAGGATAATGTTGGGTCTAGAATGACCCTAAGATATTTAAATTCTGGAGCTAATTCAAGCTCTACTCCATCCAGGAATATGTTTGACTGCTTCAAGTTTAAGGGGCGTTTTGAAAAATACATACCGACAGTTTTTGAGGTGTTCAACATTAGGCATGAGTCCTCCAGCCAGCTATGTATTAATGCTAAAGCAGCTGTAAGATCTTTTTCCACCTGCTGGACACTATTTGCTTGCGTATATATAACTGCATCATCTGCATACATTTGAGTAAATATATTTGGACAGACTTCAGGTAAGTTATTGATAAAAAGAGAGAACAATAAGGGCCCAAGAACAGATCCTTGAGGAACCCCTGTATCACAGTCTAAATATGGAGATTTAACCCCATCCAACACCACACACTGTTTCCTGTGTGAGAGATATGAGGCAAACCACTGAAGAGCCTGACTGGAGATATTAAACCGAGTCAATCTGGATAACAATATCTGATGGTTTACAGAGTCGAAAGCCTTCCTCAGATCTAAAAATACAGCTCCAACACAGGGACTCTTGTCCAGCAAGCTCTTCAAGTTCTCCACTAACATACACAGGGCAGTATCTGTGGAGTGGTGTTCCCGAAAGCCAAACTGCAATGGATGTAATGAGGGTTGGGTGTTTTCTAGGTGAGCAGTGAGGAGTTTAACCACCCACTTCTCAGCTATTTTAGATACGACCGGGAGTATGCTTATGGGGCGATAATTAGCCATGCCAGTCTTCACACCTGCTTTGAAAATTGGTGTAACTGCAGCAATTTTCCAATCTGGTGGGACAATGGAGTGTTTGAAAGACATATTCAAAACATGAGTTGTTGGACGTACAAGAAAATCCATATGTTCCTTTAGGAAGTTTGTGTTAATACCATATACATCAAGTGCTTTTGATTGTTTTAAACCTGTAATTAGTTTAGCAACTTCAGTGTCTGAAATATGAGTGATGGTGAACAAATTTTGACCAACATCATTCACATTATCAGAGCATATGACTGAGTCAAAGCTCTGACTGATCTCCTTAACAGATGAAATAAAGAAAGTGTTTAAGTTACTGGCAATAGATAGAGGCTCTCTAACAATAGAATTATTTACATAAAGTTCAATTGTGTTTTTACTTTTGTTTGAATGACGGCCAAGTAATTTATTTAAGTGTTGCCAGATAATTTTACCATTACCTTTGGCTCTTTCAATTATATTTATAGCATTTTTTGCTTTGGCCTGTCTCAAACTTCTTGTTTGAGACAGTTCCTTCTCCAAACTTTTCTCTTCCCATGATTATACAGTAGAAGCTAAAACTAGTCCAAGTACTGGTGAACCTAACTTGTAAAAATGACGCTGGGACCATTATCCTTCAAATATAATATGGTCTCACATGTCTAAATAGTTCATCCGTGTTCCTCCTTTTAGCTGTTCAAGCTGCACCGAGTGACGACGCAGTGACCTCCTGTTTCTCTCGTTGTAGCAGGAGGCAGAAGGAGGAACCAGTGAGGTGACGGAGGAAGCTGAGGGCAGTGGAGGGAGTAGAGCTGGCCTCACTGATGCTCTAGAGGGAGGAGAGGAGCTGGGTGGGTGAGGCAGAAACACCATGGTTCTGCTTTTGGCTGGTGAAACCTGGGTTGGAACCTGGAGGTGAGATGTGGATTGGCTTCCCAAAGGAGGGAGGTCAAGTAGAGGAGGGTCGACTGTGACAGAGGGGAGGGTATTCCTGCGGAGCTGGGAGTGAGGGGGCAGGCCGGTGGGGAGCTTTTTGTCTGAGAGTGACCCTGCAGGAGTGACACATCGTTTGAGGACCACGCTGCCGGGCGTTGCATGAGTCGAGCTCATCTCAGTGAGCGGGACGACAAAATGAGAAGTCTTCAAAGAGAAATCCTCATGGCTGCGGCTGTAATCCTCTCCTCCATATCCGTTATCTCTCCTTTGAACCTTGCCTCTTCTCCTCTCTTCCACTCTGGACTGATCAAAATGGGACTCCTTTTCTTCTTCCTCCTTTTCCTCACCCTTACTCCTTCCTCTCTCCCCTCTCAAATCCTCTCTGTCTCTCTCCTCCTGTGGGCTCCTCTCCCTCCTGCCCTCCTCATAAGCTCTGTTCAGACAGGCCAGGTTGTGAATCGCTAGCCAGGGTTCAGATGATATTCTCTGTCTGAGAGGGGGAGAGCTGCACCGGCTCAGTGGTTCACAGGAGGGACGTCTGCTGCTAATGCTGCTGCTACTTCCTCGTTGGCCTGGAGGAAGAAAAGAAGTCAGTTTTAGGGGTTAAAATCATAGATGTAGAAGCTGTTGAGAAGAGGCATCCTTTCTCTGTTGCTGTAATGTTTCTTCATATTTGTCATAAAGCTGGCTCCCTGTTGGATACATACAAGGCTTTTAATCTACCAATATAGTGTCTTAAAAAAGGTGAACATCTATGATAAAAGTCATTGATAATGTCTTGTTTAGAAGATATAAGCTGCAGCAGTCATCACATTGTGATATCTCTGTCCCTGTGATTTACATCTGCCCACTTTGAACACCTCTCACAGTGCCACGCAGGAAGCCATGGCAATCCATCCTATTTCAGTCCAGAATAAAGCGAGGCAAAGCTACACATTCATATAAATATGTTGTGCATAGCGTGTGCTATAAATTCTAAAAATATTCAGCCAGGTTTTCCCCAGTTCATCACTTACCCTCACATGACACATCTTTCCCATAACAACCATCTGTCTTTATTCACTCTGCTTCTATGGTACAAATCGAGTTCATAGACGGGACCTGTAGCTTCCTTCATTACAAGCTTCACTCACCCTGGCAACACATGTTCATTTTCTCTCCTCGGGAATGAGCGTGCAGCTAATGATTTCAACCACAAGGCATTTATTCTCATCTGTCTAGACTTGTTTTTGTTCAGTGCTGATCTGCTATTATCCAGGAGAGGCAAGTGTCTGCATATAGAGATTGCAGTATTGATCTGTTTTAAGGCGGTATAGCCAGACAACTCTGATAATATTATTCAGAGCCGGTTAGGGAATCCGTTATGCTGTGGGGGGAGTGTTTTGTTGACATGGATCGGGTCCGCTAATCCTTTAAAGAGAAGCGTCTCTGAAAATCAGAACTCGTCCTGTGATGAAATGTTTCTGTTCAGATGGAAAATGCCGTGAGGGCTGCAGTAGCAGTTCTGACTGGTTTGGTGTGGTCAGAAGTGCAGCTTTGTTGGAACTTTAACTAAAACCAACAGTCGTGTCAGTGTCTTTAAATACAGTTGTGGTCAGAAGTTTACATGGAGTCATCACGGGCATGGCTGTCAAGATCATTTTCGGCTTTTAATGATTTCCTTTGAATTCTGCTTTTTCCAGGGTGGAATGATTATACAGCAGACATCTTTATTGACTTTAAAAAACAAGAATTGGATGCACAAGTTTTTTTTCAAGTATACAAGGAACTCACTGAAGATCTAAGAAATAGAACTGAAGATTCAAACAAACTGGTAATGTCTCTCTGAGCCATTTCTAAACAACTGCATATTCCAATATCATCAGTTCAAACGGTTGTATGTAAGTACAAGTTATTCAGATATGTCTTAATAACTTGGGGATTAGAGAAATTCCAAAATAAATTCAAATGTATGCACCCAGTTCTTTTTATTTAAGACATTGAAGGTGTACAGCCATTTCAGTGTACAGCCTGCTGGTGTGGGATACACCATAATTCAATTAAACCAAGGCATTTTCCTGTAAACAAAGCTCATTACTCACTTGTTGCTCTGAAGTTGAAGATGTTTTCGCCCTCGGGTGAGTTTGGCGAGCCTGTCTTCAGGACTATGTCAGATGGGGACATGCAGGACACCGGTGAGGTGTTTGGGGATGGGAGAACATTCAGATAGCGTCTGGTCACAGGGCCTCCATGCACACCCACCTCCGTGGCAATGATGATGATGTCACGACCTCTGACCTGACATGCATCCATCAATACCTGAAGTACAAGAATGCTGGTAAAGTAACTTTACAGGTCTTGTGGAGGTGTTGAAATCTCCTTCTTTTGGAGTTCTATTACATCCTGGTAGTTTTAATGATAATCATTTAAAATGAACTAAATTATATCAATTAATTGAAATGAACTCCATCTTAGGATGGTATAGGGTTAAAACCCTAACTTATAAACAATGCAAAACCTCATAATATCCTCTTCCATCCTTTAAATGTATTGATTCACACTTCATTTCATTTCTTCTTTGCTCCTTACTAACCTTCAGAGTAGGCTGATGCTGCGCGTTGATGGCGTAGACCAAAGCTGAGGCTCCAGAGTAATCCTCCATGCTTGGGTCGGCTCCTGCAGCAAGGAGTGTGGCTGCGACCTGAGCTCCCGCACGCTCCATACAGGCGTACATCAGCGCAGTACGCCCCGCCCAGTCTTGTGCATTAGGATCTGCCTGATCAGTGCAAAAGATCCAATTGAGTGATTAATTCAGTGATAAATGGTTATCCCAGAAGGGACATGGTCCGGTGTTAGGAGTCACTCGGAAAGCTCAAGTGTATATTTTATAGAAACCAAATTTAGCAGAACTCTGTGCAATTTGGCTAATGCTCTCTTAATTAGAACTGATCTGGCACTGTTGCTTTTGTGTTGTGGCTCTCAACTGTGACTCACAGTGTGTTATATTCTGTTCTCCGGTGCCAGCATGTTCAGGAACACCCTTTTAGTTGGATGGGGTACACAAGCAGAGCTGGATAGATCACAAGCCTGTTTACTATGCATTAAAAGTTCTCCTCTCTTAGAGCAAGTACAGTTTTTTATGCATTAAAAATACACCTAAGTCAATAAACTGCTGAACTTGTATGCACATGTTTACATTCAAGTGTCTGTATTTAATGGTGACTATTTGTCACTGAGGACTGACCTTGTTCTGGAGGAGGTATGTGAGGAGCTTAATTGTCTCAGACCCAGCAGGCTCCCCTCTCAGGGCCTTGCAGGCAGCCAGCAGAGCTGTCTCTCCTTTAGGGTTGCGCCCATTTACCTCTGCTCCACCGTCTACCAGCAGACGGACCAGACGGAGCTTCCCAGAGGATGCTGCACTGATGAGCGGGCTACAGTCTGACAGAGGGTCCAACATCGCCGCTGTAGGGCATTCAGTCATTTATCATTCTGATACTAATAATATCATATCATATATATAGATGCAGAAATGCCTCAATCCTGTAATCAGAGCACTAATTGGATTACTATGACATGCACATGCACTATATTGCCAAAAGTATTCACTCATACATCCAAATAATTGAATTCAGGTGTTCCAATAACTTCCATGGCCACAGGTGTTTAAAATTAAGTCCTCAACTTTCTGCAGAGTCAATCTCTACAGACCTGCAAACTTCATATGTTCACCTGATTAGTTCAAGAAGCATGCATAGAGAATGTTTTTCTAGTGATGACCCCTTCCTGTTCCCACATGTCTGTGCACCAGTGCACTAACCAGGTAACATAAAGACACGGATGAGCGAGTTTGGTGTGGAAGAACTAGACTGGCCTGCACAGAGTCCTGACTTCAACCAGACAGAACACATTTGAGATAAATTAGAGCAGAGACTGCGAGCCAGGCCTTCTCATCCAACATCAGTGTCTGACCTCACAAATATGCTTCTGCAAGAATTATCACAAATTCCCATAAACACTCCTAAACCTTGTGGAAAGCCTACCCAGAAGAGTTGAAGCTACTTTAGCTACAAAGTGGGCCGACATCATATTAAATCCTTGGATAAGGATGGGCTGTCATATGTGCATGAAGGCAGATGAGTGAATGCTTTTGGCTATTTAGTGTCTGTGTCAGCAGTCGTCCTCTCATGCACCTGTTGCTCATTCAGATGTGCAGAAATTCTACATCAGAGGTGTGCAAGCAACAGAGATACTTATAAAAAGTAAATTTAAAGAAGACTGGGGAAAGATTTTCGATTTTCTTCCTTATGTCATTTTAAAATGTTCTTCTAATATCAGTGAAATTTTTAATGGATGAGCAGAGTATCTACAAAGTACCTACATTCAACATCATTCTTACCTTAATTTTTCTGTTCAGTCTGTCTTCTTCAACAAAACACAAAGACAGCAGTCATCTTCAAGTTATCTAGATACGATGCAAAAAAAACCCCCTACTACCCTGCTCCGAATTTTATCCTGATTCTTTACTAGCTTGGTTTTCTGCATGAAGCGTCCTCGTGTCGCTGGCCTGCAGCAATCAGCCGAACATGAAGTGATAGGATACTAACTTTCATGTACTCCCTCGGTCTCTGTCTCCCTCCGTCCTGATCTGTCCTCTCCTTACCTTCTGGGTCAAAGGGAGGTTCAGCCCACGGCTACTGTTCAAAGTCATAAATGGTTTTAAGCCCAAAATGTCACCTGTTGCAAACACTACACTTCAAAAGAGCCAGAGGGCCTTTGATATGAGTCAGCTTTGAACAGTTCTCATCTGCTTTGAGACCATCTGTGTTCAAACACTGGCAGGGAGACATAGATGAGAAACCGAACTAAGGCTAAGCAGGCTCACACATTAAACTCATGGCAGCTCATTTGTATCTGAACATTTTTGACGCACTTCTGTTGTTTGTATTTTAATCTTTTGTTCTTTCAGAGCACTAAGCGGCTGTTAATATACAGTCATGGTAAAAAGAAGTACACCTATACAGTTCTTATCAGGATAAATTGGGTAAATATGACCTCAAAAGAACAACACATTAGAATATAATGTGACATTATTCAGACCTACTACAATGACCATTAAGTAGGTCATTGACCTACTTGAACAATTAAGTGAATCATCCTGGTGGAGGACCGTTTTTCAAACCTAAGCCGTGCTGCCATGTTCTTTTTTACAGAAAAGAGGCTTTCGCTTCTTCTAAACAAATCATACCTTTTCAGTCTTTTTTCTAACTGTGCTGTCGTGAACTTCAATATTTAAGATGCTAACTGAGGCCTGTAGAGTCTGAGATGTAGTTCTTTGTATTTTTGCAGTTTCTTTGAGTATTACACAATCTGTCCTCAAGGTCAATTCGGTCAGGTCGGGACATTCCCTCTCAGGGTGATACAGTTATCTTGAATATTTTGTGAATAATCTTTCAAATTGAAAACTTTGTAACCTTTCCCAGACTGACAGGCAGCAACAACTGCTTCTTCAAAGCAATGACTTCTGCTTTTTTTTTATAGAGACGCTCACAACCTACCCTCTTAATTCCTGTAGAAGCAGTAAAGTTGTACTATATTTTTATATTTTACATGTAAAATAAAATGTAATTTGTTGTTCATACGAGATTGTATTTAGCTAATTTTAAGATATGTTGATATATAAAACCTCAAATATGAAGGAGAGTGTATGAAAATGCAGATGAGTGTAGTACTGCTTCCAATACTGAACTTTTGATTGAAATACAAATGAATTCAGTTAATCAAACTGTGTCAAATAAAACTGGTGAGAGCTAAGACTATAAATCAGAAAGAATCTGGATATAATAGAGGTGCTCACACTTACTGATGATTGGATAATCGAGTGCATTTGATTAGCAGCACCTGGCTGGTGTTTACATTTAGTTTTTGTATACTGCTCCTGCAAAGTGGCTGAATTTTTGTTAAATATATAATTACTTGTTGTGTTATGTAGTTGATCCGACCTGCCGAAGGTAAAATTGTATTTTTATGTCCCGACACATAAAATGTTATGAATGAAAGTGTGTGTACTTTCATTTTTGTGTACATACTTTTGATTTGAATGAGAGAAAGAAGGAGGAAGAGACAGTAGATAAACATTTCAGAAAATTGCACACCGGTTGTGTACTTGGGCCAAACCACAATTAGGTCAAGCAAACAGATTTAGCCCGGAGCAAAAGCAGCATGTATAACATGTTTATAAGGCAGTGTGAAACAAGCAGCACTGTGTCTTATGGTATTTACATTATTTTTAGTATTGAGGGCTAAAAGCTTTACTACACAGTAGAGCCTCAAAAAGCAGCAATCATCTCCCTTTTTGAAAAGGTTATCTCAGCATGCAAAATCCTTAAAGATCTTGTCTTCTATCTACAGAGATGTAATAGAGCAACAGGCTGGTTTTGAACTGTATGCAAACGTATTATCTGTCAAAGTTTTTTGGGGTGCTATCTATAGTAAATGTCAGCTGGCTCACTTTCCCAAAGGTGCATATGTTAAATGAAAACTTCATCTGTGTGTGTGACAAGCTGTGTGCAAAACAATGTGAAATATCAGCTTGAGCATTTAATATCCATTTAGATACATATATATGGATTGCAGTCCAAAATGCAGTGTTATTGAGTCATTGCATCGCCTGACACACCCCATTCCTCCTGCTGGGAATGACTTCAACACTCACTCATGCTGCAGCATTCTGAAGAGGCACATTTTGAATGAGTACCTAGTAACATCATTTTGTCATGGTTACACCAATGTGAAATGACAACCACCTCCTAAATAAGCCCTTCAAGGGAAATTCCAGTGATACATGTCCACCACATCTAACTAAAATAGGCAAAATTAAATCATTAAGATTGTAATTATTAACACCTAAAAATACAACATTATCTTGTTAAAATTTGCTGGGAAGCATTTGGTTTCTGGAATTGTTTCACTGGGTCTCTCACAGCTGGAAAAAGACAAACACAGAAGACTAAATTATCTCTATATGTGTGACTCAGCAGCGACAAAATCCACCAAGAAAAGCTGAGAATGTAGATTCCCTCAGAGCCACTCTGCATTATATTTCAGCACGTGTTGAACTGTCACATGGTGCCACATTTATATCTTGATGTTACTAGTCAAAAAATTTAAATGCATCACTTAGAGTTGTAATTGTGAGCATTGTAGCGGTGATTCAGCCCAAAAAAATTGCACAAATTCTGTTTTGCAACAGGCGGCTAGAGACACGTGTCTAAAGATATAATGTAAAATTGGTTCTTTGCTAAGATGTCTGTTACGTGTCGTCACAACAGCAGTCCGTCCCTTGAGTTAGGTGCCTTTTTTTATACTTGAATGATTCGAAGGTCAGTGTTAAGCAGCTTAACAAACAAGAACAAACATAAACATTCATCAGAAAATGATCAGGTGCAAGGAATGGACTGAAAATCAGTGAAAAAGCAGCCAATGTCTGATGAAAACATTTAAAAGACCTACAGAGAGCCTGATGAAATATTGCTCAAGCCAATTTTTTTTAAAAAATTACAAGAAAGTCTGGCTCCTTGGACGCAGACTATTAAGAAATGAGAGATGTCTCAACACTTGTACTGCTGTCGCCACTAACCTGAGTATACATCACAGATCTCTTAGTCTGTCTGATTCCACAGGTGGATGTAGATTTAAGATTAACTTTTACATGCACAACACAGGCAAAGCACACGTTTTGTTAATGGTCGCCATAAACACATGATATTTTTAATGTTGTCATATATTAGGAATATCATGTAATGGCTTGTGACCATTTTGCATCCCATTTTTGTTTAATCTAAGCTGAGAGTTGTGGTTAGATTTGTTTTAATATACTGGAACTTTAATGTGTAGTCCGCTTTTACAACAGAGTAGTTGTCAGTTAGTCAAATTGTACTCAAATTGTAATGTAGTTTAAAAGAAAAGGTGGTTAGAGAAAACCTACTTCCTCTCTATAGCTGTGCACAAACGTGCTAACCAGACATCCTAACTTCCTCATTTCTAAACACATTGTTTATTCTATATGGATAGCAATCATTGCTTAAAATATTAGGTTTGTCTTGCTCACACCCTTTTATTCTTGACATGTAAAAAAGTACCCAAAAAATCAGCGTAAATTAATAATACTTGTATCAGTATTTCGCTCAGATAAATCTCCATCCAGCCGTTTATAAATCGCTGAAACAAAATCACCTGTGTCCTCGCACTCACTGTGCAAAGTACCCTCATCATGCCAAAGAAAGAGAATTAGCATAGTGAGAGGGGAAGTAGAAAAAAACTGTAGAGGTGGTTACGTAAAGCCCTACGTAATGGTTTATTTATGTCGGTGGGCCAATAAAATGTGCTCTGACTTCAGCCGTCATGACGTAATGCGATCTACTCCAGAATAGCGCGCGGCGGAGGAGCAGCCACACGGTG